AATATTTCTATTGACTTGTGTATGAGGTTGAATTCTTCCAAAATTCAATAGCATAAATTTCCGCTGCGACTGAAAACACCTGCACCAGACCCGGAAAGTGATTTTGATCTATCTGTGAACAAACAACTATCTGCTCTTAATATTTCCTTCTCCTGGAGGATCCACTCCTCTCTACTCGGGAACACTACTTTATAAGGCAGTTCTTAGTTGACAGTTGGAGGTATAAAGTCAGAGGTCATTTCCAGAATGACATAACATCCAGTGTCAACCGACAGTCCGTTGCACTCTGCATTAAATTGATTTGAGCAATTGGCAATGTGCACAAGTCTACATGCAGTCCATCTAGCCTCTCCCTCCATTGAACAGGGGACTACAGGTTTCTAATCCTACAGTTTCTAAAATATATGGTCTACCAAAAACTCACAAATCTAGTAAGCCAGTGCTACCAATTGCCTCCACCGTAAGTTTCCCTAGTTACGAAATTGTTGAATGGATACCCAAACAGTTTGAAACTCTCTTAGTCTCACAATTGAAGATGAAATTTTGTTAATTCACGTAAATTCATAGATGAATTTGGAGAAATAAAGCAGCGAGAAGGAGAGATTTCTGTATCATTTGATGTATTCCCGTTGTTTCTAAGTATCCCTATACCAAAAATTATTGAATATTTGAGGGATCTTCTGAGGGTCAATGGTCTCAGTGGAAAAGTGATCGAAGAATAGAAACAACTTAAAAAAAATCAGCAAGGAACAGAATTGCTTTCAGTTCATCTACTGTTTCTACAAATAACACGAAGGCACGGCAATGGGTAATCGACTGTCCCCCTTAAGAGTTTGTCTGTTGATGAACAGATTTGGAGTGGAAGCACGGACTTGGATCTTAGATGGAGATGAATTATTTTAATACAAAAATAAGGTAGAGGACTTTGTTTTAACTCTTAACAGATCGCCGAACATTGAGTATACATATGAAATTGAAAACAACTAGCAGTGTTTTCCTCAGTGATTGGAAATAACCAGCGTCTATAATTTACCAGTATTTTGTCTATAGGAAAAATATCAGTATTTTTTGTATATATTCCTGATAGCCCACATCCTTGTTCACAACAGAAATTGGCAGGACTGAATTTTCTTGTTCATACGATAAGGGACATAGTTGAAAGCAACGGGGGGGGGGGGTAATTGGTGGTTGAAGTTTTTGTGAGTCAGCTATGGTAAATCACTAGTGATTAAAAGGGCCTCAATGAGAACCAATTCTTTTGTTGACTCCAGGAATATGGAGTAAAATTCATTATATGAATATTACCGATAAATTTTTTTCAAATATTTCACCAAATAAACAGGATACAGCAAAAAATTGAACTACTAAATTTTCAGTTTTCCCGAATATCACCGGAACTAATAAAACAGTTTTTTTTTGGAATATACAATGGTATTCGAAAATAGTCAATACACTTCATACTATTCCCTATTTCTTACAGTTTGCGAGATCTCTGTGCATATATTTCAATTTGCTAGATCGTGCAAATTAAAGTCTATGCACAGAGATTTTTGGTTTTACCGAAATCTGAAACGAGAAATCTGAGACCAGCAAATACGTACAACTCAGTCATCTGTGGTGAATTTATTTGGCAAAGGTATGCATGTTTATTAAACATGCGGCAAAAATTTAAGTGACTCATCCTTGGGACTATTCTAAGAATATTTGAAGATACGGAGCGAAAAAAAAAATCGACAATAACAATGTATTACCAAAAATTACATGTAATGTTTCTCTCCTCATCGACTCCCGAACTCTTTCTAAAACACCAGGATCGTTTCTGATTGCGTTACACCCAGCAATTATCCGATTTGTCAAACCTCCACATCTTCCACAGGAGTACATAAACTAATGACTTTGGGTGGCCCCATAGGAAATAATCCAGAGGGTTTAAGTCCGATGATCAAGCAGGCTATAAGTGAGGTCCACTTCATCCAATCCAGCATTCTCCGTATGTGTTAGTGTTAAAAACTCTCGAGCCAATATGCTAAAATGCGCTGCTGGTGCACCATCGTGCATAAATCACATTGTATTTCTTGTAACCTCCAGAAACTGAGATAGCGTTTGTTCCAAAAAATTGCGGTATACCTCGCCGGTAAGTCTTCCTGGCAGAAATACCAGTCCAATTAGGAAGTCACCAAATTCCCACCCTAATTCCCACCCAAACGTTTAACGAGAACTGATATTGAAAGCGATCTTCAAGCACCTCATGTGGATTTTCTTCAGCCCAAACATGGTTATTGTGGAAATTCTTATGGCACTTCTTGAGAAACTGGCTTCTTCGGTAAAAAAAATAAGCGTCAGTAGTTGAGGGATTTGAACTAATGTGCGCAAAAGCTATGTGGCAGATGTTCCAAATTGTCCCGTTACATACATTCAAAGTATTTGCAATTTTTCGAGTAGAGGTACCTGGATCTTCTTCTATCATGGCCAGCACATTTTCTTCTACTTCTACCGTTCTTACTTAAAATTAGCAAAATTGTTATTGTCGAAATTCTTTTTCGCCCCGTATCTCTGAAACAAAGTGCCCTATCAAAAATCATCAAAGGACAAAATATCCTTAGAATAAGTCCAAGGAATAGCCCCTTAATTTTTTGCCACATGTTCAATAAACACCCTGTAAGTAAATAAACTGAATAACCAGAGCGTACATGGATTATGATTCGAGAAGAGGAGAACAAATAATATAAAAACAAAATATATTTATCTAAGTGCGAGGACTATTCTGATCAATGACATGCAGGGCCCTTCGGCCATAAAAGTCAGGTAATTAGATAAAAGGCTTGACTGTTGACACGATTTGTTGGATAATAGCGTCAGAAATATAAAATATCTTTTTTAGTGATGGGCGTGGTAGTTTGATGAAAGTAATAATTTGGATAATGAATCCATCCTAATCACATTAACTTTCTCATATTGTTACTATAATTTTTTTTTCAACGCATGAAATATTGGCGAATTCATTCACATCATAAATAAATTTAGAACATGAAATGTGGATGTGAATAGTGCTACCGTGTTTATAATTTCAATGCCTTTTGTATATCAGATGATTTGTTTCCTCATTTTCATTATGTTGATGTTTATTTTTCATCGATTTTTTTGTAAATGTTCAAACAAATTGAAACTTTCTGGTACAAAAACTGAGAAAAAAAATACTCAATTTATACATATACTTTACTAGTTGTAGGTGACTCCCGTCCAACTTTTTAAAACAAATATCTATTTGATACTAGTTTCTAGCAGATGAAGGTATGTGTTATTTTTTTCAAAAAAATCTGAGGTCTCAATAGATAATGTGAAAATAAATATCTGGGTGCATCCTCGTGAGTGAGAAATCATAAGTATGACAAATTTGGAACTGGATGCCCCCAAAAGAGTTCCCAGGAAAAATTGACGAATGGCAAAGAAAGTGGATCAGAATCCTAAACTTCGATGCTGCAAAAGATAACGGTACTACAACATCAAAAACAGTTTGACAGCAGAACCCAAAAATGAAGCTTTCATAATCCAACACTAGACAGCGGTGTTTCGTCCCGCCATAGATCTCATCAGTGGTGCTAGGCTGAACTACGAATATATCGCAGGACTCAATTAACCTTATAGGAGAAGCCTGAGAAATCACCTCTACTGCATCAAAGAGAGCAAAGAAAGTGGATCAGAATCCTAAACTTCGATGCTGCAAAAGATAACGGTACTTCAACATCAAAAACAGTTTGACAGCAGAACCCAAAAATGAAGCTTTCATAATCCAACACTAGACAGCGGTGTTTCGTCCCGCCATAGATCTCATCAGTGGTGCTAGGCTGAACTACGAATATATCGCAGGACTCAATTAACCTTATAGGAGAAGCCTGAGAAATCACCTCTACTACATCAAAGAGAGCAAATTTGGCTCTGGAATGCCTACTTATATTATAAAGAATTATTATGGTTACATTACAAAACATTATAGTAAAAAAACCAATTGACACGCATAAAAGAAACGTTTCACTCTCTAATACAAATCATTGCATCGCGCAAATACATTAACATGTCAGGTATGCCAACTCATGTTGTGGAAAAAACAGAATTTACGTATGTAAAAAAAGAAGAACTTTAAGCTTCTTTCTAAGATACCTAAAATCAATCATACACCTATTGAGAAGAAGAGGGATCGACGATACTAATTGTAGGTAGATAGAATGCATGCTTGGAAGAAGATTGGTATAGATTATCATTATGGTGGTAACAGAAGTGGAATAGATAGCAGAGTGCCAAGATTTTCAATTGTGGAATATCATAGACTTTAGGTCGATGATGGTCACTATCTTGCACTGACGAGTGGCTAATGAGCCCGAAACCGGTCTGCAAGTGTGCCCGTTCCAAAATTGAAGGTCGACTCTCCAAGTTGTATTGCCAATTGCATATGCAGGAAATTTTCTGTGAAGATTCCTGCACTGATGCCTGTCCGATATAATCCAACGCCCTTCGTGGTATTAGCCAGGGGAGTAGTTGTTTTCTGATAGGCGTCAGTCCATTCAACCTACTATGTAGGTATATCGAGACTGACTTGAACGTTTAAAGTTCATTTCATTATATAGATATAACTTATGTACGAATTGTTTTAGTAATTCGGAATAATTTTCAGTAAATTCCTCTAATGAAATTATTTTAACAGTACCAAAATATGTTACTTATACTTTTACTTACACTATGTTACTATGCATTATTAAAACTTTGGGTAGTGTCACGAAAATTTAGGTTTATTTTATCCTACCCTCATATCCATTGAAATACTGAATTTCGAAAATTTATATTGGGTTAACATTGCATTCGTCATTATTCAAATATGATTCTTTCTGTGAGAATTTCATATCTTTGACATTAAAACTCGTAAAATGTTCTTCATCATTGCCCATGGTTTATGTTCGACTGATCATTTGATCGTGCTGTAATTTAGTGACAACAAAAGAACTCACACTCAAAACGTACTGCACCATTAATCCACATAATACTGCAACAAACACATGTTTCTTAATTGCAAGAGCGCACATTTTAAACTTTTTTAAAAAAATCACTCAATAAATATAGATGCTCTCCGCAAATGTCTCGGAACAATGAATACTTCTTAATCAGACCCATTAGTTTTATACTTGGTGAAGATTTCATAGATTAGGTAAGATTTCCTCCTGAGTTGCAATAAAGTGTTTATTCTCAAGACTTTCTGAATGAACAGAGGGGAAAGGGTAGGGTTGCCAGTGACTGTTGAAGGATTGGTACAATATCAGATGATCGTTTTCAGTGTTAATGTTCACTGAGGGGTATCCGAAGATGAAAAATAATTACTATGCAACAAAATAGTTTTAAGAACAGTAATATTCAGGATGACCTCTATTAATTCGATAACAGATCAAATATCTGAGACGGGCATAGCATACCTAATTTCACTAACAAATATTAATTAAGGACGTTTTAAAATATTACTTCTTTGATTGACGACTTGTTTATTTTGTGAAAATTCATGTTCACTGAGGATACACTATAAAAACACAGTTTTGTCTATTTTCCATGATAGTTTTATATTTGTTGACTAGTTTCGGTTATTACACAATTTTGAAAACTAACTAGATTACATTACATTCTACAACTGGTAGAAATGTTGATATAAGGTACCAGAAAATGTCTTTTCGGATAAAAAATCATCTGCAGTAACGTTAGTTACAAATAAAAGACATGAGTTAATTATATAAATTTGAAAATGTCCGTATAGGACGAAACTGCAGTAACGTTAGTTACAAATAAAAGTGGTGAAAAACATAAAAAGTTTCATTTCTCTTTTCTTCATTATGATTTTCTACCACGTAGTAACGGCTACATCCATCAATTTATTGAATGAAATCTAGTTAGTTTTGAAAATGGTGTATAATAACCGAAACTAGTCAACAAATAAAACTATCGGGGAAAATAGACATAAGTGTGTTTTCATAGTGTATTCTCATTTTAAAAATATTATTTTCACCTAATATGTAAATGATTAAAAAAAGTTAGTTATATTGGGATATGGTTAAAAAACAACTGTTTTTAAAGAAGTTTTAAGTTTAAATAATTTCATAATATATTACTATTACTATGTTATAATGATTATAATCAATGAATCTTCTATGATTTGTTCATTCATGCGAATATTTTGAATTTAAATTGAAAGATATATTGAGGAGAAATAAATTTTTGGGAAATAAATCATTTTGGCTTTCTTTTTCTCCATCTTTATACGAAACTTCGAAGGAAAGATAGGAAGCAATCCATTGAGTTTTGAGTTTGATTGTGGAAAAACTCATATAAAATCACTCCTGCCAGACTTTAAAATTTTCATTCAGAATATTTCCCTTGATATGCTGACAGGAAAGTCAAATATAAATTTGGTAAAATAACCGTAATTATAAAATGTTGAAATTATATAGAAAATATAAGTGGAGTGAAAAAGTGTATGTTACACCAATTAAGTTGATATCGACAGAAATGATCTTCATCATATTTGGAACATTCACCTTACAGAAATTGATAATTATTTATCCAATAATTATTAGATTTTGTTTGAATATTGTTATTAAGTTTTAAAATTTAGGCGCAATAAATCCGGGTTTCAGCTCCGATTGATAACTGTAGATGGAACTTGGATACACCATTATACGCCCGAAACAATAGTCCAAACTGTGGTCTACAAAAAGAAAAAACCATTACAGGAGCATACTAGGCATCATCACTTGAGAAGCTGGAGGCAGAACATGCGGAAAAAGGGCCACATTTGCCATTTGAAAAATGAAATCCTGTTTTACCAAGACGACAACGCACCCTCTTACACCTTAGCGGTTGCCATGGCAAAAATCCACGAATTATGGTTAGAACTGATCGACCGACCGCCTTACACGCCAGACCTAACCTCAAGCGACTTCTTTTTGTTTTCTCATATAAAAATTGCGATTCTCTCTATCTGGTTAATTTAAAATAGTAACGATCTATGTATACTTAATGTGAATTGTCTAACAATTCATAAGTGTTTTTCAGTTTGAACGATATAGGCAACCTCTCTATTTCATCTGTCATTTGTACTGAACATACCTACACCTCAGCAGTGTTGAGATTAGTCCATTATCTATTCCAATTCCTTCTGGTATTATTTGAGAAGCATTTGGCCAGTTTCCAATATGAAACAAATAAACTTTCAGCTAGTTTTTGTCTCGTTATTGGAATATTTCTATCATGTGGCATCAGTCGTCATCTACTTACGTTCGAAGATAGAATATGCAAGTATCATCTGGAGTCCATTCTATGAGAATCATAACATAGCCATTGGAAGAGTTCAAAGAAAGTTTTGTAAATTTCTAATTTTCAGAATAGATGGTTCTTACCCTGAGGAAGGTATAAGTAATGATGTCATATATGAACGTTTGAAACTTTTTAGTTTAGAGCATCGCAGAAAATGTGCGTCGCTCATATTTTTATTCGATTTAGTGAATGAGAGAATTGACTGTCCTAAAATTTTTGAACAAATTAACTTCAATGTACTACGGACAGCTTCACGATCTCAATCAATTCTTAGACCTCTCAAAGCAAGAACTAACATTATGCTCAATTCCCCAATATATGTTATGTGCACAAATTTCAATAGCATTTGTGCTCATGGTGATTTATTCTTCACTAACCTTCATAAAATTATTAGAATTGCTAACGTGTACTTGAAGTAGGTATTGAGATTTAGTTTTTTTATATCTGTTTTTCCGTTAATGATTAAGTATTGTGAATAAAATTTTATATTGTCCTGTAAATGGGTAACTGTTGGACAATAAAGCTATTATTATTATTATCAGTCAGAATCGTTATCTTTCTAGTTCTTATTTGTTTTATGAAATGGCCAAGCACATTGTCGTTACTTGAAAAATAATGTTTTTTTTTTGAGCATTATCCTCGTGTTCTTGGTAGGTTATCTTATTAACTCCCCAAGCCACCTATAGAGAGGTTTATGGATATTCGCATTCCCATTAGCTACGTATCGTAGTAAAATCAACCCACTTTCATTTTCATTCATTATTATCCAGAACAAAGTACATAAAGTAGATCTAAATTACGATAGATAAGAAAAGACACTGTATATGCTAAAACCACGTCATACTGTATTCATCTAATCTGCTTATTTTCTTTATCTGTGTATAGGTTTACTTGTGATTCACTGTTTGGAATCTTTGGTGTTGTAATGAATATTACTGGAGTTTTTTTCCAACACCAAACCGTCATTTTAACACATTGGCATGTGTTTCGATCACAAAGTGATCATCTTCAAGATCAAGTTTGATCTTTCACTTAGTGATCGAAACACGTGTCGAGGTGTTAAAATAACGAGAATTCAAGTTGAAAAATTATACAATTACTATTCCGCAATAAACCTAATCTTCACAATCTTTACACCTGAATATTGTATTTTCTGAAGTATCCAATCAAGGAATATAATTGAACATGTTGACAAGTCACTATTCACGAGTTGGTCATATAGATCCTGGAGTTGAACTTTCAAAACTGTTGCATCAATTAAATCGTACATGATGTTCAGTAGATGTTCAGAAATAGCTTCTGTTTTAAACATTGGGAACATTGATATGGAAAACATGTTCGGATGTAATGAAAAACTGATTTATAATGCTGTTTCAGATCCTTCATAGATTGTTCAAATATTTTTCAAATCGCCAAAATTGCATCTGTAAGGCTGACATTTTTGGCATAACCAATGCTAGACGTTAATTTGCCATGAGCTACCCCAGCTACACATGAGCTGAGCAATTTTGAGGTCATTGTTTTCAGCAGTGAGAGAGTTCAGAGCCGCTCTGTCCCCAAAATCGCGGTCTTTGCAAAAATTTTCATAGTTTCAAGAATTTCATTCCCATTATAATTGCAGTACATTTCAAATTAATATCTTAAAATTATCGCGCGAGTAAATAAATTCAAGCGACCTGGCAAACCGATGCTACAAGATCGTATTTTTCAATCAATCTTTTTTTGTGTGAAGAAAAGAGAATTGAAACTTTCTATGTTTTTACCACTTTTATTTGTAACTAACGTTACTACAGTTTCGAGCTATAAGGACATTTTCAAACTTATACATTGAACTAACAATGGTTCATTACATTAGCCCATATATACTACCCCTGTAGGTACTAATAGAGGTACTTGGCTTGATTGAGTACCTGAATTTACAGTTTACAATGTGGATGTGCCAATTTGAAAACCGGGGAGTAAACTAAATCGATTTGATCATTTAACAGGTTGCACCCGCAATGTTTATTCTTGTGAATTTCCAAGGATTCTAAATAATTGAGTTTGTAACCCTTCCTTGCATAGTGCAAAATTTCCGTATCGTTTTGATTCGGAAACTTATGGTTGCATGGCAAGGAATGGTTCGAAAATGTCGAATCATTTTTTTCCTAGTCTGAAGGACCTCTCATGTTCAGCATACCGTTTTTGGAAATTTGGACCATTGTCCCACATAAACACTATGACACTCCGGACACCTAAGCTCATAAACTCCAGATTTCTCCAACTTGACCACCTTATCTTTGGCATTGAAAAGGAAATCAGATAACCTGGCATGTGGTCTGAATGTTACCCGTTTCTTGATTTCTGGGTGTTTGACCTGAGGGTATATTAATCTGTAAGGGAATTTACGGCTTTGTTTTCTGACTAACTTCTGGATAGTATCTGAGTTGAAACCATTATTATGACCTATATGTGTAATTATATCAATTTCCCTAGCTAGATTGTTAACAGACAAAGGCAGTGAGAATGCTCTGTGCAACATTGAATTGTAGGCTGCTAATTTATGACTGTCTGGATGGAAAGAATCGCTTGGGATGTATTTTCACCTTCAACAATCTGGAAAAATATAAAAATTGTAATGGAAGTTTTTACCAATAAAATGACTTTTGTTCAACGTCGCATTTTTGTTTTATGTTGTTTTTTGGTAGATAGGTACTGACCTATTATGAAAGTGAAATAGATTATTGTTAATACTCGTATACTTCTGTTTAAAGGAAATCAATTCAAATTCATTATTGTT